TTACATAAGTTTCATTTACAATTTTACATAAAAGAGTTTCCTTTTGGTTAAGATAAATAAAATAAAATATGGACGAACATCGGCAAATAGGCTTTTTTACTGCTTTGTTAACGTCGTTGTTGTAGTAACGGCACTTGGGCCTTGAAACTGGCTTTTTAATAGTTTATCCCATATAGAGTCCAACCGATTAATCGGCATCGGCAAGTATCGCCAAACGAATCGGCATCGACACTGGCCGTTTTAGCCGGTTCTTTTTACGTTTTCCGCACTTCGTTCCATGTTATTTATTTTTTACTTTTTTAGTTCCTTTAAAGTTTAAAATATTAATGCACCTGATTTCCCGTCATAAATGTGTTCTCATGTTTCGCTTCTATGATGCACGGTGGCGAGAATGTAAGTAGGGAAGACACATTTTAGCAAGTTTTGGCTATTTTTCTTTGCTTATATTTTTTTATGAAAATATAGCTTACTATCTAAAAAAACACCATAAATCAAAATTTCAAACTTTGTAGAGCATTTATAAGTCTTCGACAAATTTTTACAAATGTTCATAAAAATTTTACACTGTTTAATCAGATTTTTTTTTTGCGGCCGCGTTTTTTTTTTTAATTCCAGTATGATAAAGTGCAAGTTTGAAGTAGCTAGGACTTACCGTATTGGGGTTTGTTAGATAACGATCTACACTTTCATAAAAAAATAATAAAAAGTAAGAAAGTCTAAGTTCGGGCGGAGCCGAACATTAAATACCTGGCGCAAGTATTAAATATATGTTTTTTCACCTTTCCGAAAACTACCGCTAACTATTTTGAGTAAATTAGCGTCCTTCAATTTCGAAATATTGAAGTTTCAAGCATTTCTGAAATTTACCGTTATATGAAAAGCGGCCGTAATTTTAGTCCGATTTCAATAATTTTCAACGCTTTGCTTATCTGTGGCAAGCACAATAACCACACCGAGTTTGGTACAAATTGGTAGAACGGTTACCGATATACTTATATGTGATCATAAGTGGGCGGTGCCACGCCCCCAGAGAAGCATCAGCATGGATTCCATAAAGTGCACTGCACAACAACAGCACTTAACGCCATAAATACCCAGATAACTCGTGGACTAAACCGAAAACACCCCTGTGAGAGAACCATTCTAGTAGCGCTGGACCTGTCTAAGGCATTCGACACTATCAGCCATTCAACGCAACTAGAAGACATTGAGGCCTCCTCTCTCTCACAGGGACTCAAACGGTGGTCGGCGAATTATCTGAGTGGTCGTCACTCGTCAGTAACTTTTAGAGACAAATCGAGCAAACCGAGGAAAATAAAACACACACACACACACAGGGTGGTGCCCTTTCCCCATTACTGTTTAACTTTTACATTTCAAAGCTCCCTCAATCACCAGAGGGAGTCTCGATAGTCTCTTATGCTGACGATTGCTCGATCATGGCGCCCGGGGATGGAATTGATGACTTGTGCTCGAAAGTAAACGGTTATCTCGCCGAGCTTTCCCGCTTCTTCACTGCACGGAGCCTAACCCTCTCTCGTACAAAATCCTCAGCCACACTTTTAACCACCTGGACGAAGGAGGTCAGACTCCAACTGGGAATTCTCGTCGATGATACACCAATTCCGACGGTGAACAACCCGAAGATACTCGAAGTAACATTCGATAGTCTGCTCTCCTTCTCGGCGCATACAACCGCAATTGTCAACAAAGTACAAAGCCGCAAGAAGGTCCTCAAGTCGCTAGCCGGCAGCACCTGGGGCAAAGACAATCGTTGCTGGTAACGTACAAGGCAATTAGCCGGCCTCTGAACTATGCTGCGCCCGTGTGGTCACCGGGGACTAGTAAGACGCAGTGGATGAAGCTGCAGACTTTCCAGAACACGGCACTCGGGGCAGCGACAGGATGCCTTTTGATGTCGCCGCAACACCACCTGCACGAGGAGGCCCACATGCTCACTGTTAAGAAGCATAACATAATGCCACAGGTGTGGCCACCCAAACAAACAACTCCTTGCAGGAGAGCCTTCGCCCAGCCACGTCAGGAGGCATCTCTAGAAACTGACGGACGAAGTCCAGAGGTTCATCAAACAACCTCGGGATCCGACAGCTTATCGAGAGGCTTTGAACAGGATTCACAGAAAGGCAGAGTCTAGTTATGTAGACTCCCGACCGGTGAATGCTGTTCTGGGCACACAACCACAGGACGTGGACGAGACAGAACTTCGTCTGCCTCGGGAGACTCGGACCACAATAGCCCAACTGCGCTGTGGTTACAGTAGCAGGTTGACCTCATACCTGGGCAGCTTAAACGAAGATGTTCTCAATGAATTCCCGACCTGCGTAGAGTCACCCCGTAACTCACAGCTTCTCTTCGTATGCCCTCTAAATCTCACCATGCTTAAGTCCCTGTCCCTATGGACAGACCCCGTCGAGACTGCACGCTTCCTAGGGCTGCCGTTAGTAGAGCTTGACGACAACGATTGAGGGACTAACCGATCTGGGCGGGGTTGTTGTAGGCGCTACAACAACAACAACAGATATAGATATTTTGAAAGAGGTAAAGAATGTGTGTGCTCTCTTTCTGGCAACATTGAGCCTATGCTGTTCGTTCGTCGCCTAGCTAACGCATCAAACTTCAGAAGCAGGTAAGATGGTGGCTCCTTAGTTGAATCGCTAAAACCACAGAGATCGCTCGACCAAATTTCCAGCTTGTGTAGATGTTAGCTCTGATCCAGTACTCCATGAACTTACAGGATTTTGCACGAACTTGCAGGAAGTTGCAGGAAAAATGTTCCCGTACTCAACAATCCTCCAAAATCCTGTAAATGAGAGCGACTTTTGGAGAGTTGTGTAGAGAATGAAGTTGCAAGATTTTACCCGAACTTTTTCTTCTGGTCTGTTCTCTTAATCTGCAGTGCCCAGTGAGGATGCCTGTAATTATTCTTACTGTATGTTATGTTTCGGGGGGTTAATTAGAAGCTTATATCTTTTTAGGAAGCAAAATCGATGGGCTTAATGATCGAGGCGATTATGGGCATATATGAGCTCTGATCCAATACTTTTCGTGAAAAATCCTGTAAAACTGCCAAACAGCAAAATTACTCTCTGAAGTGAGAAAAAGTGAGTAACAACAAAAAGTACGGAAACAAAAAAACCATTTCTCCTGTAAAAACGTCAACCAGTGATTGCTTGACACTTTTCATGATTTTACCAGAAGAAAAAGTTCGGGTAAAATCTTGCAACTTCATTCTCTACACAACTCTCCAAAAGACGCTCTCATTTACAGGATTTTGGAGTACGGGAACATTTTTCCTGCAACTTCCTGCAATTTCGTGTAAAATCCTGTAAGTTCATGGAGTACTGGATCAGAGCTATGTAGTCTCCCACAATCTTGGTGGGTGGTATGGTGACGTAGGGATGTAAAAAACAGCGATGTATTGAGCAACATCGATGGTCGTGGCTTCAAACATCGATGATTGTCGATGTTTTTATGAATCCGATCATAAATTCCAATTAATTAATGTACAAATGTAAGTAAGAAATAGTTGAATTCCTTTAAAACTAGTGAAATTGGAAGATTGCTTAGCGTCGTCACCCAATTTGTCAAATGACTTCCTATCGACTCACCGATGAGCTCGCCATCGGATGAAAAGCAGGCGGGCCGCAAAAACAACTTGTTTGTAGTACTAAACTAAAATTTTAAATCATTTACATTAAGACTACACCTCGTTTCAAAACTAAACCCACCACATATTGACAAGTTTTAACAATGTTTTTCTTTCGTATTTAATTTTAGTTTCTTTTTTATAAAATTTAGTTCATTATTTAGCAAGAACTATCAAAATCCTATTTAAAATTTTTAGCAGGCTTTTCTAAAGGCATTGGTAAAAATATCGATGTTTTAATTCTATACATCGAACTACAATCGATGTAATTTTTCGAAACATCGATAGTCTCATTGTGATTTACAACCCTATGGTTATGTTTCGCTTGAGCAACAAGTCCACTCCCTTAGAGACCTAAGGCCTGGCTTAGGTGACTCTATTCATTGCAAGAGGTGCACCTAACCGAAATGGAGGAGTCGGCTGTGGCAAACGCAGCAGAAGTATGTTTCTGGTCCGGGGTTGGACTCAATGTCCGCCCGGAGAAGAAGGATGATGAGCAATCCGGCTGCAAGGTATTGATCCATGGACGAAAAACGATTGATGGGTTGCCGAAACAACAGCCCTTGGTCGGGTAAAATCCGAGTCATTACGGTGCGTAGAACCGGCTGTCGTGGGAATGATCTCGTTTGCTCAAATACCCGACACACACAGTAGCTGGGTGTTATTGTATTAAGGTTCTTAAGCACTTAAGCACTAAAGACGATTTTGTGTCAAGGTATGACAATGCCTTAAGGGCCGGTTGTTCAATGTCTGATTAGCTCTAATCGGAGGTAGAAGCTCCGGTTTAATACAACGACTGCTTTATCGATCCCATGTTATATGCATTACGTCCAAATCGTCGATAATGATGTACTGGTGATAACCAGACATTGAATACCGGCCCTAAGTGCAGCCTGCTCTGAAATAAACTCTATAGAAAGCCTAAAATGGCCTCTCCCGACTGCTTTCAATCAATAGCCCTAGAAGTTTTTAAGCTCTAAGCATTTGAACAGGGTCTAACAAATTCAAATAATTATTATATTTAATGCACGGCTCAACATGATTTTAATATTAATTAATATTAATATTAATTTAATATTAAAATCACGAAAAGAAGAGGAAGTTTGAGTAATTTTCCACAGATTCTTAAATTCAAAGAAACTACTAGCTAAATATCAAGCCTTAAACGCGAACAAAGCATAATCGATTTTTTTTTTTCAAAATTTTGTTTTTGAATAAACGAACGGAAAAACAAAACAAATATCCATTATGTTTTGTTTTTTGACGCTTTTTGACCCACTGTTCTGCCGCTACAAGGGATAAAAAAACTGTCAAAAACAGCTGACTGCGCGTCAAAAGCTCCAACGCTCCAAATTCGACAACAAAAACTTCGCAATTATTGGACGTGTGAAAGATAAATTTGGGGATACCAGCTTGTGAAACAAGTTTGTCGATGTCGGTGTCCAATATAAAAAATAAACATCTAACAACAGCAGCGGCAGTGATCACTTTGGAGCGCAAAATAAGCAAAACAAAAGTAGAACGAGAAGCAAACAAACAAGCTAGAACTCTCGTGAAGAGCTTGGCGAATTACAGAAGCACCAGACGCGGACAAAACAATCTGGAGCGGCAGAAAAAAGCAAAGAGCAGGCAGAGAAATCAGTCAGTCAGAACACAGCAGCGCAGTGCAACGGAACAATTGGCAGCCCATTGGAGCTATAAAGGGCGTGAATTATAAAGATCAAGTTAAGCAAAAAAAAAGAAATAATCATATAAACATACATAAAATTGCAGTTTTGTGAAAAAGCGATAATACATTGTTTAAAATCTTCATACATTTTAAGTGAGAAAAGCTAAACACAAATACAAAAGGTGAATAATCCTTGAGAAGGTGAGCGTACATACATACGCACGTACACACCTTGCTTTATTGTAGGGGTGCTTTCAGATGGAAAGGACAGTGGCCTATCGAAGGTGACGCGGCAGAAATACAACACCGTCAGCGCTTTGACGACGGCGACTACGACAACTTCGGCAGCATTGCAGGCATTTGAAGCAGCTGGACTTCACATGCTTGATTCTGTTATACATATGTATATACATTTGTATGTATGCCTTTTGTGTGTGACGTTATTTAACAACAAAATACATTACTATTATCAACGTGAATAAAAGTGGTTAAAAATTAAAGTACTGAATTTGGAATAAATGAGTTAAAGGAAGTGCCGTACAATATTCGTTGGGTTTAAAGCCTGTTAAAAGCAAGGATTCACTCACTGAGACACTTCATCAGATCGGCTGTTTTTGTGCTAAGGAACACGTAGGCACGTTTAAATCCCAGACAAAACTACTCAACTACCCACTTTCCGCATCAGCAGACAGCGAGCATCAGAGGTGAAAAGGACATTAGCGACACTGTATACCTAAGTAGGTACATCAAAGGTTGTCGTAACAAGAACATAGTCGTTGAGCGGATGGAATAAATTATGATCAGTGTCATCGTATTTTTAATAGTATTATAGAATTCAAAGTCTTTAATTTTGGAATATATATACCTATTTCTTTATATTGACGTCAGCAGAGTGGCGAGGTGGTAAACTTGTGAAGAAAAACGAAAGGCATAACAACAGTGGACAATTTTAGTCAAAACAGATATATATATATATATATATATATATATGTACATATGGCCAGTAGCAAATTCACAGAATTGATGCATAAATAAGAAAAAAAAACGACGGAAATCAATGTGGAAGAGATAAGAAAATACACAGATCATAAAAAAAATAATAAACAACTACGATATTTAGTAGTAAATCTTAGAACAGCCGAAAACTCATCGAAGAAATTAACATTAAAAACATAAATTAAATTCACAGTGTCATAAAAGAGTGTTCATTTAATTCTACAACATCATACGACTGATAGCGAGCAACAAATGAGCTTCTTATGAACAAAAAAGTATTTTCACTAGCACTTTAATTTTATAAAAATCATACAGTTGCTGTAATAAAACACACAAACAAGCAAGATGCGGTTATTTCCGGTGCGTTTGTCGAACATAACAAAAATGCTCGATTTGTACTCGCAATTCAATCCGTCGCCGTTGTCAATAAAACAATTTATGGATTTCGGTAAGTCTTATTTGCGTTTTTTCTTTTATCACTTTATAGTACCATACTACTTAAATAAATATACATATGGGCATATATTGCTCGTTTACTAAGGAACGTCATAATCCATATAAACAACAAAAATAATTAAAAAACATGCGTTTATTTTTTAGTTATTATTTTTTTGTGCTAAGGGAAAGCCGTGAATAAAAAACATAAACCGTTCTTTACTAATTTTTAGTTTTTTCCGTTATGAGGTTCTTTATTAGGGTACCATGAATCAATTAAGCTCTATCCAGAATTACAGCCGACTATGGTAAACGCAATTGCGGCGCACGACGGCTTCCGACATTTGTCATTTTGATTTGAAAATTAAATATTTTTTCGCTACGTACGTGTATGTAGATATGCTGGCAATATAAATGGATGAAAACATTGGAAAGCTTGTGAAAATAATAAAAATTACTACAACCAACCCTCAATCAACCGAAAAACGTCGGCGGTAAAAACGCTGCCGCCGCAATTATGAACCATTCTATATGCGTTTGTGAGTTTTAATTTTGACAGCGGTTAACCGTCGACCCTTTACAGTCCCCCGCTGCAATTCTCGGTATTCGCAGAAAAGGGGCCCAGCTAAATAATTTTCAAACACATTTTAATGTGGTCTTTGACCTCAGTTATAGTGAAGATAAAAAAATCGATTTTTTTAATCACTTTTGAAGTCCAATTTTATCATAAAGCTAAATAAAATTTTATTGCTTCAAATAAAATTCCGTTAATTTGTTTTGACCAATTTATTGCAGATAATTTTTGTCGGTTATAAAAATATACATACATACATATTAGACTGATTAGAGCTAAGGTGTGTTCAAATTGAACACTGGACAACATGTGTACATTCGCATATATATTCGCCAGAAGCTCAGTGTGCAGAAGCGTGTTACTATTTGTTAGTTTCCAGGAAGTCCAGGGTTCGAATGCCGTCAGTCGCAATAAAAGATTCGTTACTTTTTGTTTGATTTTTTCCGAACTGTGAAAAAGCATCGGGGAAGTGCAGAAGCGCAGACAAATTTCAGAAAAATATGCGAGAACATAATCGTTTCACATCCATTTGCGTTACTTTTTAACCGACTTCCAAAAAGGGAGAAGGTTATCAGTTCGTCGAAATATTTTGTTTTGTATGTATGTTACCGCATAACTTTGGACCACGTAAACCGATTTCGATAATTCTTTTTTTGCATCGGAAAGGTAGTGTCTCAGAGGTGGTCCCATACTGGTTTAGATCCGATCATTGAATCATGAAATATATATACAGTATCGGTCATATCTATAGCACGCCATTTCAAAGTGATATTGTGTGCCACTTATGTTTATTTATTTATTTTTAAGAATTTTCAATTAAAATACAGTTCTTTCTCTAACAAAACCCATATAAACCCAAGTTTAAGAACTTATAGAAAACTACAAAAAAGTGCAACAAATTTTCACCTAAATTTCAAACTTTTTTCTCGGAAGTGTTTGAATTTTTCTGAATACACAGTTTTATAGCCCAATCAATTTTAGTCTGATAATGTGGAAGTTTCAAGTGGCTAAAAGTTACCGCTGATTTTTTAGAATTTTTTTCGCCAAAGGTGTTGCGGTTTTATTCCATATACAAATAAATAGAGTTTATTCATTATATGCAAGCCAATGCAACAAAAAAATTCTAAAAAATTAACGGTAATTCGCATCAGACTAAAATTGCAGGGGCTAAAAAACTGTGTACTCAAAAAAATTCTATTACTTCCGAGAAAAAAGTTTGAAGTTTAGGCGAAAATTTGTTACACTTTTTTTTAGTTTTCTACAAATTGTTGAACTTGGGTATATATGGGATTTGTCCGAGAATGAACTAAATTTTAATTGAAAATTTTTAAAAATAAATAAATAAACATAAGTGGCACACAATATCACTTTGAAATGGCGTGCTATAGATATGACCGATACCGTATATATATATATATATATATATATATTTATATATATTTATATGAGAATTGAAGTCGTTTTTTTGCTATCGCTGAACATTTTAGGCTATTTAAAAATTTAAATTGCCTTATGAGAAAGTCAAATTTGGTGGATTTCCGCAACAATGTTGTCGATTTGCTGAAAAAATGCGTTAAAATCCACAAAAAAGTACAGAATCGCCCTCTGGCGGCTCTCAAAAGAAAAAATTAATGCCAAAAATGGATTCCTCGACCCCGAAAAACCCCCAGATACACATTTTGGCTAGTTTTTCAATACAGCTGCTTCAACAGGTGAGCCACTTTTGAAAAAAAACTTGATAGAAAAAAACGCTGGCTCGAAATTCATTTTAGACCTATGATTTCTTGGGCAAAATTCTTGAAATGACCCAAATAATCATAATGGCGATGTGCCTAATTAATTTATAATTTAATTAATTTTTTTGGGCCCCTACAAATCGACCCGCCCTAATATATATATGTATATGTATGTTCCAGCGCTATTGTTTATCGTCTGCGTTCTTATGGCACGTTTACTTAGCTGATTTTGTTCGGAGCTAGGCTTCCATTTAAGAACGAGTGAGAATTTCTTTTATGAAAGGTAATGGCTATACTCGAAACGATTATTGGTTGCTATATTGCCGTGACAACTACAGCAGACTAACTAAATTAGAGGTGCTGCAGAAACTGCATGGGTAGAGTGGTGGTAAGCTGCAATAATTTTCCTGGATTTTATAAAACAAATACCAACAAACTTATATCAGACCAGTGTACATTCTACAATACAATCACCAGACTTTGAAAGGAATAACAACATGAACCTCAAAACAAGCAGAACGAAAAATAGCGTTACACTTTGTTGTTTGCGATTATAGATCATTTATATTTGTTAATTCAGCAAGCGTTTAATTACTAAATCATTTGCATTGCAAATTTTGTGCTTCATCACATTAATATGACGCGCCTTGGCGAAAATGTCAACAAATAACAAACCATGTACATACATATGTGTATATGTACGTACCAAATATGTAAAACTATACATTCATACATATGTATGTACATAAACATTCTCGTATAACTACATACACTGGCACTTGTAGGCAAAATTAAATTTGCAATACAAAACATAGATAAAAACCTAGAGTTACCCGGCCACGCCTTGCTGTGGATTATTTTCTAATAAAATGGAAATATGAAAATCAGAGAACTTATACGATTTTGTTTGTGTTGTACATCTATTCACTTGACCTTAATTTTCAGTTACAAAACTGCATACTCAAAAATCTCCTAAGACAATATATTGAAATTTTTATGAAAATTTGCTGATTTTTTTTTTGTTTTAATTTTCTACAAAGTTATAGAATGAACTGTATTTTAACTGAAAAATAATGGAAATTAAATAGTTAGTAAAAATTAACCCAAAAAAACAACAGCGAAAAGCATTGGTCCCATTCAAGTGCATGGGAGTGTACATGCGTATATGTACATATATACATACATTTATAGATGAGGTATTGTTAAATACATTTAACGAGAAAATATCGCAGGAATATAAAAAACGATTCTTAACGCCTTACAGGCTCATGAAAATAGGTCTCCTGTAGTCAAATCGATTTATCTTAAAAATTGCATGCATACATATGTATGTCCTATGTAGGTATATAATGGGAGAATTCTCGGTTTCGTTTGACGTCAAAAAGTCGAAACTTTCGTTCAAACAAAGTTCATGCAACAAATCTGGCAACCATACATACTCGTGTCAACCCATCAATATTGATGACATTCTTTGTTCGGCGGTTGCATTCTTTTCACAATAAAGTCATTAAACTTCGATTATTTGCAATTTTCATTTCGCAATACTTGTTTAATGTTCAGTTTGCGCACACATTTGCAAGGCTTTGACTTTGTTTTTCGCAGATAATGAGCAGTGCGCTTTGTTGTTTTAATAATTTATTTTTTAACACAATTGGGATTAAGCGTTCTTTATTTAGTATTCCCTTGTTGCCCTATTAAGGCTGGTGTCATACTTTGACATGTCTTTATCTTCTTCATCCATACCTTTACCGATGATATCGTCGCTACCATGTTAAACAATCGAATGTGAAAATCGGTACTTTTCAGGAGAGCAAAGAAACTGTTGTAAAAAATGTTGTTGTCATTAGGGAAAAGTGTGGGATTCGACACTTTGTTAAAGCCAGTATCCTCTGCTTCTAAGAAGACTAGAAATTCGACGATTTGCCAACTTACATATCATTCTAAACGCCCGGTATCGTAAATGAAAAAGCATTTTTGCACATTCGATAGTTTGATATGGTAGCGACGATATTATGTACCAAAAACAGACAGATAGCCGATTTAGCAGCGCATGTGCATGACTAAAGATCTTTTCCGTTCAATTGATATACCGTTTTTTGATCCCATTTGACAATGTGTACTCACTTATTTGACGAAAAATGCCATCGAATTTGAAGTAGTGAAAACAAGCCTTAAGAGTCGTTGGACACGTTCTGATTTAAAGTATTTAACTGAAAAAAGTAAAAGTTTTTAATATTCCACTAAACGGATTAATTACAGGGAATACTTAGTGCCGTGTTCACAGCAACGAGATAACTTCCGTTTTTCAGTTAACTTTAAATTTTTGTACTGAAAATCATTAGCTAATTACCAGCGATAAAGAAATTCTATTAAATGGCGATCCAGACCCACTGGGGTTACAGCATTAATAACCACCTATATGACAACATTATTAATTAGTACGAATATCTTAACCCTCTAGTAGGCCAATTTTTTTATGAGTTGAAAAATTCAGGAATGGGTGATTTTAGCACGAGAAATCCGAAACTCATGTCCATTTCGATCTGTGACAGTAACTTTTTCCTACAGGGGAGAAAAAACTAAGACGGCCTGGAGACGGGCTCGCCGATATACTTACACATATTTTCAGCTTTCTCTTACACAATGTTGACCTACGAACCGGCAATCCCGTCTGCAGACGGTCAAAAATGCAAACTTGGTTTT